TTTTTTTTTTTAATAGATCATTTTATTGGGAGCTCTTACAGCTCTTATAACAATGCATCCATCACTTGTATCAAGCACATGTGTACCTATGTTGCCAGCAGGTGTATCCAAACAGCCAGAGCGCAGTGGGCCCGGCTGACGGTGTTGCTGTGCCTCTTCCTAGGGACGAAGTCAACAGAGCCTACCGGAAGCTGGCCGTGCTGCTCCACCCGGACAAGTGCGTAGCGCCGGGGAGTGAAGATGCCTTCAAAGCCGTCGTGAATGCCCGGACCGCCCTCCTGAAAAACATCAAGTAGAGGGGAGAGGAAAGGAGGCAGTGGGCAGGACCCAAGTGGACATGGACCGCAGGAGCCAGCGTGGGGTCTGCCTCCCTGGCCACTTTGTTCACTGGGGTCAGTTGTCACATGCAAAGCATTCAGTTGCCCGGGACCATTTCCTAGGGGTTGGCAGAAGCTGCCCGCCATTCAGACCTTCGCTGTCCCCCTGCATTTAGTACTTGTCAGTAAGCTACCTTTCTTGGTCACCCGTCTGTACGCTCTGTAAGGAGGCAAGCGCTTTGCTCAAGTGAGTTCACGAGCTTTCCGCAAGGCAAAAGAAACTCACCTGTTTTTAGCCCCCAAATCTGCACCAGAACAGATCGCAGGAGACACTTTCAGAACTCCTGAAAGTTAGTGGTGTGCCCTCCCAAGCAAGTTGCTGCTTTTCCAGCGAGTTCCTTGGGTGGTGGTTTGAACCAGTTATTGTCATGAGTGAACTCTGGGCAGCCCTCCTGCGTTTTGTGAGGTGAGAGGTTCGCCTCTGAACCCTAACTGCCCTTTCATGACGTGCAGAGAGCTCTGTTCCCTTATCCACCACCAGAGGGAGGGACAACACAGACCACCACCTGAGAAGGGCCAGGGATGGCAGCCGCAGATGCTGGGCAGGCTGGATGTGAGGCGGGAGGCGTTTCCCTGGCCGGGGGAGAAATGGTTGCTGGTGGCTGTGGGGCACACCGTGCACCTAGGAAACCGGACTGCAGGCCAGCCCGAGGGATTGCACACAGCCCCAGAGGGGAAAGGCCAGCCTAGAC